TCCGATCGCCTGTCAGTTCAACCGCCAGCCGAAAGACTCAATGATCACTGGAAACAAATCATGCAAACTATGCAACTATCAATAAAAACAACGTCAGACCCTCACGCAGACTCAAGACGTAAACGATGGATCTCGTCGACCTCGGCTGCTCTGCTGGACGCCAGCAGAACGCTGCCTCCGGATTACACATATGACACAGCGCTCAAATCCCTCAAACGCCAGCTCACCAAGAGTCTGAGGAACGACCGCGAGAAGTGGTGGGTAGAGAAATGTAGAGAGATGGAGAAGGCTGCGGCTATCAGCAATAGTCGCAATCTTTTCCGTCTAATTAGGAATACGGGTCCTGGGAAAAGGAATCCGAAGGCACGCTGATTCACGATCAGCAACGACGTCTTGATCGATCGGATGAACATTTCAAGGCTCGGTTCAACTGGCCCCCATCGACATCTGAACTGTCACTCTCCAATTGACTGGGCAGGTTCTGCCAGTCAATGCCAGTCCTCCATCTGAAATGCAGGTCTCCCGGGAAATACGTTATCTCAAACGGCATAAAGCCTCGGGCCTGCACGGGCTCTCCATCCGTTTCGGTTTCAGAGTTGAGGAAACTCCTGAGCTCAGTGTGGGAGGGGGAACAAGTTCCAGCTGAATGGTGTGAATCGGTAATCATACCGATTTACAAGAAGGACGATAGGTCCTCTTGTGAAAAGCACACAGGAATTAGTTTAATTAACATTGCTTCTAAACTTCTCGCTGGTATCATACTCCGTCGATTGTCTGCCGCACGTGAAGAGTTTACGCGTGAGAACCAGGCTGGTTTTAGACCTGGTGGAGGTTGTATCGACCACATCTTCACTCTTTGCCAAACTCTGGAGCACCAACATTCTTTTCGTAGACCCACCATCTCTATTTTCCTGGATCTTAAAGCGGCCTTTGACTCAGTCGACCGCTCTAAACTCTGGCGCTGCCTTTTTCTGAAAGGTGTGCTCGAGAAGTTAATTTCAATATTACGATCGCTTTATACTAATAGCCGAAGTCGAGTCCGGACTT